TTGCACAAACAAGGACTACACCGTTTAATGCAGACCCAAGGCCAGACATTTTTAGGGGTAGGTTTTGTTTCCCATTACAGATTCTCTTCATGTCAGATCATAAAAATACAATGTGAAGAGCCCCATTTAAAGATGACATGCGGCAGCCCATACTAACACAGATTGCTCCCGATGACGGACAAGAAAAGCTAAATCCAGTGTCACTAGGGCTCATTTCGGGAGGAGATTAAGCAGCTAAAAGGAGCTGCAACAGACTGAACACAGAAAATGTCTTGTCTTACCAGGCAGTCAAGGTTGATTTGATGGTTTCAATGTCAAAATAACCCACGTGAGCAACCCAAAATGATGGTGGCCAAGTTCAGTATCCCATATGCACACACACAACTGATCTGCTACAAAACCTATAGAAAACTTAAGCAACAGGTGTGAAATGAACTCAAGCATTGTAGCTGTTTTCAAAGAACAATGGATACTTTGAAAGGAAATGCTGAGGGTTAACTTTCAGACTTGAAGTTCAGGACAAGCACAGCCACCGCAGGCATCTGAAGGGAATTGAGTAAAGCCTGGACTTCTGGTGCCTTAAGCAGACACCTCTGTATTCGAAGTCTTTGATTTTTCAGAGGACCCTAAAATTATGACACAGAATAGCAATCCTGAAACAAAACTTGCACTGACAGAGCCCTCAGTTGCTAGGAGCTGGATGTGCAGATGGGAGGGACTCGCTGCCCTTCAACTCCACTATGCCATGAACAGACGGGGCAATACTGAGACACAGTGAAATTTTTACCATCTTGTAGATATTCAGGGCTATTCTTTTATCTATCTTACTTTTAGCTGTTTACATAAAGTTACCAAACGAATATCTCTGAAAGATGGTAACAAATTACTATAGAGTTCAAGAGATGTACTCTACCATGATTCCTTGGGAAAGGTGACTATAGAAGGAGCAGTCTGGTAGTGGTAATGCTGGGACCAGCACATTACCAAGGCACTTTGCAACTCTAATTTGTGTTCACATTAACAGCCAACCGTACAACTGGGTCCTCAGAAAGTATACAGAAATACAGATGCCCTTTTGCAGAAAAACCCCCCATGCACTGAGACCTTACTGGCTCTGCCACTAGAGGAACACCCCGAGCTAGTGACATGAGTCGGGGGCACAGCCAGTGCTCACAGCAGCTTTCACTACCCGGTCCCAGAGTGCCAAGTTCAAGGTGCCAGGAACTGACGGCTGACTTTCTCGGACAAGCTGTAAAGATTTGGTCCCGCAGGGAGGGCCGTGACCATCCCTGCTCCCGTGCGTTGTGCGGTGGCACTGGGCATGTCTAACACATCTGTCCACTGTGCAGCCCAGCAGGCACATCAGCCTTACATTCAGACTCGTTTGCTTGGTTTTAGGATCTCCTGACGTTGGCAACTAATCTTCAGTTTCCATTATCCTCCTACAGGTATGGGTGTTTTCCTTTATTTTTTTTAAAAAGGTCCATTAACTTCATTTAATGCTCCCATCCTTACTAAGCAAAACTGAAAGTTCAGAGTTTACAAACGAAAACAACCTGAAGGTATTAGCTGGTGTTTTATCCCTTTTTCAATACAGTCTCAAAGGTTTCTTTGCTATTAATTTTCATAATTTTTTTATGTCACGAAAGTAGCATTCCTCTCTCTAAATGCAGAGTTATTGGGGAGGGGGGGAATACATTGTTTTTCAAACAAAAAAAGTTTATGAAAGAACAGACCATCCAAAAAAGGAAAAAAAAAAAACCCCACCATATAAACTGGGTGGGACCAATCAGGCTTTACAAACGAAAGAGTCCTGCTTTATTTAGCATACTAAATAAAACACAGTGTGCTGCTTTTGTGCTTGGACCTTACTTCTATTTAACCAAAAATGTTCCTTTCTCATAACTGTTCTAGTGTTACGCAAGGCTGTCTAGTGCTAGATCTGAAATATCTGCATTTTAATGCTTGTACAACCCAGTTAAAAATTACAAAAGCTGCCCTTATTCCATTTTGATATTTTTTAAAAAAAACACCACACAACATACAGATAACGATCCAATGGAAAAGTTAATGTGCTGTAATGGTATTTGTTTTGCAACATCAAAAGCAGCAGATACTGAATATAATTTGCTAAAATCATAAATACTGAGATTGAACTGTGCATGTATAAATCACATGGAGGCTCAGGGAACCAAACGCTCTCTGTAAATCCATAGACGGCCAAGTAAAGTGCAAAACAGGAAGTGTGGCGCCAGACTCTGGGGCCTCAGTACTCCCACTCATCCGATTTGAGGTCCAGGTAGCTGAGGATGTTCTGGGCCAGCCGCACCGCCTGCTTCCTGGCGGCTTTGCACTTCTCCTCCCCCTGCGGGTCCACGGCATCCAGGGCCAGCAGCTGCTTGGTGAGCAGCTCTTCCAGCCGGATGTAGTTCTTATCAGCTCGGTTTCCGTCAAATGAGAAGACTTCCTCCTGGATCTCAGACAAGTGTCCAAGGACAGTCCAGACGGCTTTGTGTGACGGGTGCTCCTCACACACGATCAGCTTTCTTTTCT